AAAGGGAAAAGCGTCCGGTAAAAAACACCGAACGGTATTAATGCATGCCATCATTAAAAGATGTCGCGTCGGTATACCGTCCGGAATTCACGGCAAGGAACGGTAAGAGCGTACGGGGGAATTTCACCGATCGGTAAAAGCGTCCGGTAAAAATGCACCGATCGGTAAAAGCGTCGGGTATACGGAGATAGGTATACCGTACGTACTGGATTTGGTCATGAAATACCGAACGCTATTACGAGAATTCAGATCGGGTAGTTTAGTAAAAGCGTCACGGTTTTAGGAAAATAGCGTCACGGTTTTTTTCAAAATCCGTGACGCTTTTTCGAAAAAAACGTGACGCTTTTTTTCAAAAATTGTCAGGCAAAATTAAGATTGGTCACGTTAAATGAAATAGGTAACGGAATTCCAAGCTATGTACGGTGGTTTAAGTGAAAGGGGTCACGGATCCAAATTAGGCACTGGATTTTAAAAGCGTGCACCAAAACTACTAAATTAGGTACGTATTACTTTTGATACGGAATTCATGCCATACATATGGGGGTATGCCGTGTCGGTTTGGGAGTCGATGGGGGGAGGGGGTCAGTCAATAAGAAACACTTAAAGTGGCTCTTAATATTAATAAAGCATAAAGTAAGTACAATATGGGATACTCATATGGGGGTATGCCATGTCGGTTTGGGAGTCGATGGGGGGAGGGGGTCAGTCAATAGGAAACACTTAAAGTGGCTCTTAATCCCGGGCTCTTAATATTAATAAAGCATAAAGTAAGTACAATATGGGATACTCATATGGCATATGCCATGTCGGTTTGGGAGTTGATTGGGTGAGGGGGGTCAGTTAATAGGAAACACGTAAAGTGGCTCTTATGAATAAAGCATAAAGTAAGTACAATATGGGATACTCATATGGGGGTATGCCATGTCGGTTTGGGAGTTGATGGGGGTAGGGGGGTCAGTTAATAGGAAACACTTAAAGTGGCTCTTAATATTAATAAAGCATAAAGTAAGTACAATATGGGATACTCATATGGGGGTATGCCATGTCGGTTTGGGAGTTGATGGGGGTAGGGGGGTCAGTTAATAGGAAACACTTAAAGTGGCACTTATAAATAAAGCATAAAGTTAAGTACAATATGGGATACTCAATATAGGGTTAGTAGCTTTGAAATCTCTATGAAATCTTGGTTTATGAGACTTTAGGAGATCTCCTTTCCAGATCACAATTTAAACTTAAATTACAGTTCACAAGTCAACAAGACCATCTACCTGCACACCGAGTTCTACATTCATCAAATAGCAATATTTTCATAAATCAAGAAATTAAGTGACTTTGCTAGTTATCTCTATATCATAAATCTGGCCCTATACCAAAATGTCATCCGATTTAAATTTTTGTTTAACTGCAGAACTTAACACTATTTTTTATAACCAATCCTTAATCAAGAAACACAGATTGGGTCACAATGATATGTCTTTTGTTATGCTTTTTGCGATAAGAACAAAATTGTCCCCGTGGATTATTGAGCGAAATAACTAGCCTTAGGGATTACTGTTAAAATAATATAGTGTTATCCCAAGGATTCTTTTCTCAGGTGGGTGCAAAATTGTCATTTTCACAACTCAGACCAATATTAGTCAAAATATGCCCATTTTTCATGATTTTTCAATTTTTAAGTGGGTGGAAATGGATTTCTCAGGTGGGTGCAAGCCTTTTCTTAAAATCTCAGGTGGGTGCTGCACCCACTTGCTTTAATGCTGGGGAGATCCCTGTAATTATTCCAAGAGATGTTGTCCTGCCTAGCCATGCAACATTTATGAAAATAATATATAGAATTAACTGCTATGATGAAATAAATATATGTTGGACAGCTAAATGTTGAAATTCTTCCATTTGTAGGGCTGGTTGTCAGTTACAGAGGCAGATCATGGGGGCTGGGCCAACACCAATCACATTTGTATACAGGAGAAAGACGACAACTTGCTAAACCTATCCATACATATCAGGCCACCTAGACTTCCAACAACGCGAACATCAGTTCTAATACCGCGAACTACGTTCCTTGCACTCGAACCACGAATCTTATATCGCGAACGTGAAATCTTATGTCGCGCACCACCATTTCCTTGTTTCCGAACACATTTCTTGTACCTCGCACAGAGATCCGTTACCGCGAACAATTTGTACATAATACATCCGGGTGTTTGGGATTCCAAGTTACATGTATATACCATGCAACGGAGTGAAACAAGGAAACGAAATTCAGTTTCTCCTCCGCTTTCGTCGGACTTTCGTTCCTATGAAAAGCATGCACTTGCATGTTAGATGACCCATTCGTCACTGTATTTTGAAACGTAATCTTAAGATTAACATCCATGCTCCGAGTTGGCAGGGCTTTAAATGATGTGTCAAAGGAAAGCACTGCGTCCCACAGTCATTCATTTTTGGGATCAGAGAGTATCTGCGCACGGTGTGGTGTAATAGGAGATGTCATTTGTAAAAGTGATATTTTTTCCTTTTTATGACCGCCATTTTTTCAGACAAGTTTCTAAAATTTTAAAGATTGTATCATTTAGAGCAATATATTGGGCACATTTCTGAAAAACTCAAAAGACTCTGTTCATTGACCTTTCCTATGCTCCTACTTAAAGCTATTTACAGTGACCTTTTCAGAGGACTGAAAAAGTTATTTCATCATGTCTAGGGTCATTCTGACCATGGTCAGTGTGATCCTGGTCACACTGCATCATGCGACCTTTAACTACAAGGTTTACTTTTATACAGTACACCTACATTGTAGTAATCAGTTATGGCTGTATTCTGTGTAGATGCACTGGCCCGCCCCTCCCTCTGAGATGGGCCCAGAAAAAAGGGTCCGACATTTTAGCGCTCCACATGTCTTGGGTCAGATATCGTCCTGGTTGCTGAAGTCAGGAATATTTTGGGAACATGGGGCAAAACGGCCCTCATAATAGTTTGATCCGTGCAGAGGTTTTTCTAATCTCTCAATCATCGCGAACTTTCATGTTCCATCTTATGAAGGGATTATATTTCACATTTTCTGTGATTTTTCAGAGTGTTCGAAAATAATGTTGAGAGTAGGGCAAAATGACCCATGGGTGGGGCAGAACAGCCCACAATGAAAGCTTCGGTTTTAAAACTAAGATTAATTAACTACAGGACTCGTCAACACACATTTATTTCAGACGGTCAAAGATTAGACAGATAAAGTATTCTTAGCCCTTACCCTAAAATTATGATTTAGTAGTCATTTGATATGTTTTGAAACAAAAACCAAGTGTTAAAATCTTTATCAGGATGATAGATTGTTATTTTCCTGTATGTAAACAGTTAATCCCACAAGCCGTAATGGGGGAGGGGGCAACATTTAAGTTAAGTTTTCATCTAAAACGTCGACAGGCCAAGGGTAGCATCTTCAAATTATCAGTAGCTGGAGCGACAGATATAGCATATCAAGTATTCTATAAAATCAGGAATATTGTACATAGGGTAACTCATTTCTTGATTATGATGCAATCATCGGCTCAAATGGACAAATTTGGAAAAAGCTGGTAAAGAGAGAGAAGATATTCTGGATTTTGAAGCCCTGTGATCGGAGGATGTCACTAATTTGGCCATACGTGTTGTTACTCATAAGTCAGGTTTTTGTTGTTATTACCCAGCCCTTTCACTGAAAATGTCAATGCGCGTGATTGCAAGGTAGTCCCAATATCTTGTGTTTCCTAGAGCTTGAAAATAATGTTATCGTCAATGATTGGATATTCATTCACATGCATGAAAAACTGGGAAAATATTTCCTCCGCATTCCACATGAAAACACCTCTTTGGAATTACACTTATGCGTAATAATACGAACAAAATTACGGACTTTTTTCGATCAGATGCGTGGTTCGCGGTAACGGATCTTTGTGCGCGGTACAAGAAATATGTTCGGAAACAAGGAAATGGTGGTGCGCGACATAAGATTTCACGTTCGCGATATGAGATTCGTGGTTCGAGTGCAAGGAACGTAGTTCGGGGTATCAGAACTGATGTTCGCGTTGTTGGAAGTCTAGGAGGCCTGCATATGTATAAATTGTTTAGTCTATACATAGAAATGCCATATAAATAAACGTTGCTAAACTGTTTAAAACCAAGTATTATGAGTTAATTGGAAAAATGGTGAAAATTACTTCAAATAAATCGGATGAACCAAATAACAGACACACACACATACACAATCCATCCGGCGTTTGGAAGCTCTAATAATTTCTCAATGTTTTTGTACCAATTGGTAATGACTCAGTACTACTGAGTCAGTACCATGAAGAATATGAGTTAATACCGCAAAAGTTCTATTGAGTTAGTACCCGGTGTCAATAGAGTTAGTACCAAGAAGAGTTCTTTTTAGTTACAACAATGAAAAGTACTATCTAGTTAGTGCCTTAAAGAGTGTTATTAAGTACTATGAAGAGTCAGAGAACCATGAAGAGAACATATTATTGGGTTAATACCATTTTATTAAGTTAGTACCAAGAAGAGGTCTATTAAGTTAGTACAATGAATAGTGGTATTGAGTTAGTACCATAAAGAGTACAGTGATTACTAAAGAGTACTAATATGTTCATTATTCTACTATTATATTCTAGTATTTTTATTTGGAACTTTATGCATACTTAGCTCTACTATAGTCAATACTACACTTCCATTCCAAGCAATATTGTAGCAGAAAATACAAAGCCGGACAGAAAGCTTCTAAAAAATGTTACATCCACTTCCCGCTCAGGCCCGTAGCCAGGGGGGGGGTTCGCAGGGTTCGAATTCTTTCAAAATCATGCAGTTTTTCACCATTTTGAATACTTCTCAAGTGATTTTAGCCATATTTGGGCCAAAATTGTCAAATGTGAACCCCCCCTGGAAATTTTTGAAACTGAACCCCCTTGGCGAATCCTGGCTATGGGCCTGCCGCTGTTACTTATCCGATCATAATATTTTTTTACCTGTATGTGCTATGGCATCACTGTTGGCATCGATGTTATCATAGGGGGCGCTATGCATAGTAAGATCATCTGCATTGGCATAATCCTGCATAGAATAATCAGCATTGGTGTACATCTCTTGGTCACTTTCTATAATATCATCAGCATTCTCCTATAAAAACATACAATAATCAGCACTGGTATACATCTCTTGGTCACTTTCTATAGCATCATCAGTACATTCTCCAATAGCATTCTCCTATAAAACATACAAACATCAGCACTGTTGTACATCTTTTGGTCACATTCTATAACATCATCAGTACATTCTCCAATAGCATTCTTCTATAAAAACATACAATAATCAGCTTTGGTGTACATCTCTTGGTCACTTTCTATGACATCATCAGTACATTCTCCAATAGCATTCTTCTATAAAAACATACAATAATCAGCAGTGGTGTACATCTCTTGGTCGCTTTCAATAACATCATCAGTACATTCTCGAATGGCATTCTCCTATAAAAACATACAATAATCAGCACTGATGTACATCTCTTGGTCACTTTCTCTAACATCATCAGTACATTCTCCAATAGCATTCTCCTATAAAAACATAGAACAATCAGCACTGGTGTACATCTCTTGGTCACTTTTTATAACATCATCAGTACATTCTCCAATAGCATTCTCCTATAAAAACATAGAACAATCAGCACTGGTGTACATCTCTTGGTCACTTTCTATAACATTATCAGTACATTCTCCAATGGCATTCTCCTATAAAAACATAGAATAATCAGCATTGGTGTACATCTCTTGGTCACTTTCTCTAACATCATCAGTACATTCTCCAATAGCATTCTCCTATAAAAACATAGAACAATCAGCAGTGGTGTACATCTCTTGGTCACTTTCTATAACATCATCAGTACATTCTCCAATAGCATTCTCCTATAAAAACATACAATAATCAGCAGTGGTGTACATCTCTTGGTCACTTTCTCTAACATCATCAGTACATTCTCCAATAGCATTCTCCTATAAAAACATACAATAATCAGCACTGGTGTACATCTCTTGGTCACTTTCTATAACATCATCAGTACATTCTCCAATAGCATTCTCCTATAAAAACATACAATAATCAGCACAGGCGTTCATCTGTTGGTCACTTTCTATGACATCATCAATACATTCTCGAATGGCATTCTCCTATAAAAACATACAATAATCAGCACTGGTGTAAATCTCTTGGTCACTTTCTATAACATCATCAGTACATTCTCCAATAGCATTCTCCTATAAAAACTAGTGTTGTCGCGATTAATCGATACATTGCGATATACATCGCCAAAGCTGGTTCTGGCGATGCATCGTTGTCTGAAACAAAACATCGATGTTTTAAAAAAAATTAATTTGTTATAAAACGCCCTTTCTTATTTTATTTCAGAGGTGGCGTTAACGCAATTTTTTACGTTTTTTACTCACATTTTTGCAACTCTGACGCAAATATTCATTGTCTACCGAGTCTTTCTGACGCACGTTTGTTTCACATGCAAAATCCCCGCTTGGTACTTGGTTAAATTGATCCCTATACGTGAAAATACGTGATTGATCAAACTTATAATTTTGCTAATTCCGGAAATCTAACATTTCGTTCAGCGCAATCGAGCCTCCTTCCTACCGATCATTTTCTTATTTCGGTATTTCATATAATTTTTAAAGCCCTGTGATTCAGATTCAATGATAAACTTGAAAACATTGATCGATCCCTCGATTTGTTTATCTCGTGTGCTAGGGGGCGTATCAAAAATGCAATACAACGAACATAACATTGAACAATAATTTATTAATTTCATACTCCCTTCTAAGGATTTTAGTGATCGTATATTTATCTAAATTACCGCATAAAATCTTTCCTTGAATGTTCACACGCTAGATTTACGAACCTTTAGTTTCCTTCGCAAGTTCGCAAAATTCCTTCGCTAAGTTAGCAAGTTTCCTTGAGCCGTCCCCTTCATCAGCATGCGCAGATGTAATGCGCAGTAGGTTTATCAATGGTGCTCACAGTGACCGATCTATCGTAAGTTTTCACCAAGTATTTTCAATTAACTCCCTCAAGTTAAGATCTTCGATTCACTAGATCTGAAGCTGATCCTATGAAGATAGATAATGGGCACATGAAAATCCAGTCGATCGCACATTAAGGGGGGTAATGATGATAAATTAGGTATGAAAACAAATCTACTTTCGGTTTCATTTTATAATTACAAGATTCTACCGTATTCAATTTAAATGATGCCCAGTATTGTGGTCGGACTTATATTGCCGTTTTAGACTTTGGAATGATTGCAAAAATGTTGAATTTCAACATGAAACGCTTTGACCCCAATTTGTGTAACTCCACACAGGGAGAAACTCCTCTCCCACTCCATTCACACCCATGACTCGCTGGACCAGATAATCAGATGATTAATAGTGACATTTTTCTTGCAATTGCCTAATTAATTAATTGTTAGTTGTTAATGTGCTATAAGAGTACAATAAAAGGTATGCACAAAATCAAAAAATAGATTTTGTATGTGGTTTCTACATTTTGTATGCATTTTTACTCAAGAAAAACACTTTTATAGCTTTGACTCAACTTTTTTTCTTGTGACTCACTTTTTTGAAACTACCTGAGTCATGATGACTCACAAAAATATATGCCTACCGCCACCGCTGATTTTGATGCAAATTGCTTACCTTTTTTCATGTCTTATTTCATTTTCCAATGTTTTCTGATATTTTTTAGCTTTAAAATTGTTTTAGCTAGTCGAAATGAACCATAACCGATGCATCGATGTACGATTATGGCACATCGCGACAACCATTATAATAATAAAAACATACAATAATCAGCACTGGTGTACATCTCTTGGTCGCTTTCTATCAGTACATACCTGCTGGTAATTCGAAGTTCCTTGAGAGAGGAAGGTATATTGATACGTCCCAGCTAGGTCTGGTTCCTGGAGCACACTATAGGTGGCACTTGGAGGCTTGGGCAAATTAGCTTCATGGTTATAGTGACCTTCACTAGCTGACTCACTCTCACTGTAATGGAAAAGATTGACAAATAATATTAAAGGATCATTAAATTAAAAACTGAAGGAAAGGGAGTTTTTAAAGATGCATTATGCCATAGGTTTCTCCCCCAGACAATCAATGATGTCCTATTGTTATTGCTCGTATAATATCTCACATACCATGGATATATCCTGAGAATAACTTTTGGGTATATTATTGCCAAAATATTGGAAATAATCAACAGAACAACCAAACTCCAGAATTAAACACAATCGATTCCTTGGCTAGCGAGGGGAATCCCCATTGAGTCACACAAGCACCCACAAGCGCCTTGAACCTGGCAGCCAATCAGGTTTATGATAAACAAATTCAACGACCAATCAAATAACAGGAGGACTTTCCCGGTATATTCAAACTTCAGATTGAATTAATTGCTTCGAAAATAATTAGATCGGCCAGCACAATCGCAAAATTAACACTGAAAGAGGGGGATTTGGGACTTCTTCTTTGGTAAGTAGATGGGTATATATGTGGTGAAACTCAATGTGCAAAAAAAAAACAAAAATTAAAATAATCAGGCCCATAGCCAGCTTTTGCCAAGGGGATTCACTTTTCCAAAAATTCAAGGGGGTTCACATTTGGTACAAGTACATCAAATCATAAAATCACAATTCTCAATGACAGTATGTTATTTTCAAACAATGACTATGAAAGAAGTTTAAATTGAGTGATTTATCTGTTCATTATATTCCAGTGATTTGCCAAATTCCCTATGTACAATTTGACCAAAATGTGCCCATTTTTCATGATTTTCTATTTTTCAAGTGGGTGCAAATGGATTTTCAGGTGGGTGCAAGCTTATTTATCAAAATCTCAGATGGTTGCTGCGCCCACTTGCTTTAATGCTGGGAAGATCACTTAAATTCTATCACAAAAACAGTCATTACAGGCTGTACCTTGATACTGGCTGCTTCATTGATCTGGCATTTTGGCCTTGTTCAGTCATCATCCATGTGTTTGTAGATATTTGTCATTTATCAAGACTACCTTGTTGTTTCCTTGTTTGTTTGAAGAAAGTGCAGCAACAAGACCAGAAAAGTCTATAGCAGAGTCTGAAGTATAATTATGTATGACAGTCCATTGTTTGAACTCTGAAATGAACAAGGGTTTAGCTATATAGAAGCGGGGGGGTCACTTTTTATAAAATTCCAGCAGGGTTTACATTTGACAAATTTTGCCCAAAATTGGCCAAAATCACTTGAAAAGTGCTCAGAATGGTGAAAAACTGCATGATTTTGAAATATTTTTTTGCTAAGGGGGAGGGACCGCTCCCCGACTCCCTCTGGCTATGGACCATATATTAAATAGATGGAGTTCGATCCCCCTGAACCCCCTCTCCTGGCTATATGTGACCCGCCTCACCAAAGTTTCACAGAAAATATTTCTGGATGTCTTTTTAGACTATAGATCTTTCATGTATTCGGAGTTGATATCCTCTTAGGCCTAAAGGAAGAATCTGATTAAAGGGGCAATAAGGACTGTAGAGAAAATAGGAAAGTTTTTTCATTTCTTCTGAGCTATCAAGGCAACATTTGGTTTAACATCTTCTTTGACATACCTATTTTCTTAAAATGTATGGATAAATTATCAATTTCAGCATTAAGAAGTGTAAATTCAGTTCAAAGCTTCAAAAAGGGGACTTCCACTTTTATATTTTTAAGATCCACCATGTCTCAAGAGGAATATCAGCTATAATAATGTTTATCTAGGGGGTTTCTTTGTAGATAATAAAAATAGATGTTAGTCTTGATGAAATATCCAAACTTAAATATATTTTGACACTGGTCCATGATCGTTGAATGACCCCTCTGCACTAATTATTGCACCTTTAAGCAAACATTCTACATAATGTTCCAATTTTAAAATTTATTGTTTGACAAACTTCTTTTAAATAGATTTCGAAATTTCATATATATACCCCAAAAATTAACACTTTGCCCTGCCTTAGAGTTAATTTGGAATTGGAGCCAATTTCATGTCCAATATATTGCTCTAAATGATACAACCTTTGAAATTTTTAAAAATTGTATCATTTAGAGCAATATATTGGGCACATTTTCTAAAAAAAGTCCTGAGCACCTAGTCTAAGCTATTTTTCAGTCACATTTTCAGAGGGCTGAAAAGGTTATTTCATCATGTTTATGGTCATTCTGACCATTTCCATTGTGTTCCTGGTCATGTAAATGATAAGTGGAACTAGTTTAACTGACTGGAGGTCCAAACAGAACTCTGTTATCTTGGTCCAAAAAATTTCATTGTCTACATCTTCAAGTTTTGCACAAATAGTACACTTGTGTACCTAGTAGAAAAGAATGGTGAGAAGGAGTGATTCCCGTTTCAAAAAATAACATGTGACCCTATTGAGGGTTGCAGCAAATTTCCGAATATGCACCCTGACCTAATGCCCAAAAAGGACTTGATAACTTCCTTTGAGAAATTGAAATGAAAAGACAACAGTTGAAAAAACATGGAAATATTCAATTTGCCCTGGCCACTCTACAGAATGAATTATCTCAATGACCACTAACTGTCCCTCTTTCTAATGAAGACCTTAGTGGCCTAACAACTTATGAAAACACAAATTGTGCTCAAAACTTGCCTGTTGTTTCCTATCTTTAAAAAATGCCGCCACATTATCACCCAAAGTAGTAAAAGGTGGATTTATCAATGAAACGAAAACAAGATAGCAAATTAGTTGAGAGAAACGGAACCATTCTTTGGATCAGTGTTTATCAAGAGCAAGAGGGTGGGGGAGCAAAATTTTTTTTACTATGCTTTACAAGGGCTAATGACATACGACTGATCGTCCAAATAGTGTAGGCTGATCAGGGGTAGGTGCATTCATGCACTCTCTGGGTCTCTGAGGATCGTGTTGGCCCTAGTCTATATCCAATAGACTGAATTTCCTGAGAATTCAGGTCTATTGATCATTATGTCCCTCCTGTGGGAAAAAACAGGAGATTTCCTGCAAACTATTATCAATTTTAGGAAACTTCACTTCCCAAAAAGCATTATAACAATTCAATTAAGTAGTAAGGTACAATTTAATTAAATGCTATAAAAAGTAACACAGCATATTGTCAAATGGAAATAAAGCTAGGGGAAGTAACAAATATGCAAATTAATTCACCCAGTCGGCCATTTTGAATGGCACTTCCTATGGTAAACAAATAATTTTCAATCCCAATTTTCATTCCAAATTTAAAAAAATGTCAGACTAGAGGATATAGTCTAGTGTTGGCCCCAGGATGAAAGTCCATACGATAATCCAACGCATTAGAGGCGATGTTCACCGTCTAATCAGGGGCGGATCTGGGAACCAACAAGGGGGCCGAAATTTTCAGGTCAGAGAAAAAAATGTGGGCCCCTAAAACCCAAAAGTGGGCCCAAATTTTGACATTTTGAGGCCTATTTTCTTCAAAATTTGGCCTGAAATTTCAAAATAAAGCCTTAAAAAGCCCAGTAATGACCAAAAAGGCCTACTCTTTGAGGCCTTAAGGCCGAACCAGGAGTCATAGGCGTTTTCTGTATTGATGTTGAACAAAAATAGCTTAAAACGGGAATCCTATCGACAGAGTTTAAAACGTGCCACTATTGTTGACGGACGGACGCACGGACGGAGAGACAGACGGACAAGTGTGAGTGATTGCAAAAGCTCACCATGTGAGCTAATACTGAAGGGTGCATTTTATTATCCTTGAATATTTTCAGTTGATCCTTAGTCATCACAATAATTTAACTGGAATTGAGAAGTTGTTAATATCATTCCTTATAAGTATGCAGAGTTTCAATGATCTGTCATTAATGCCGTGGTCACCTTTGCTCCGATTTCAGCACCGGCGCCCGGCCGATGAGTATTTTGAACACAATTTTGAATACACTTTTGAACAAAATACTCATTCGGCCGGGCACCGTCATCGGAGCAAGTGTGACCACGGCATTATGGTTGTCGTGGAAACCAAGATCTTTCTTGAAAAGTCCATAGTTTCTTGGTAAAACCTGTACCTGTACCATCAAATAGAATGTGCATTATTTTTCAAATCAACATATCAGAACATGTTAGTACTCTAAAAATTATCAGGACAATTCATTTGTTTAGATATAATGGATATTGTTATTCACATGATTGGCCATGGTTAGTGTACCCTGCGTGCAGAGTCTAGTTAAACTACACTCTGCCTAGTAGAGACCATATTACAGTTTAGTAGCCCCGCCCCCATGACGGGTACCCGTGACAGTTTGGGTAAAAATCACTTTTGAAGACGAAGCTCTCTTTTAAGAAGTGAAGTCAAACGAATGCAAAGGGTATGGTTAGTGTCAAAGACCTTACAATTATTAGGTGATCAAAAGTAATCGCCATGAATACATAGAGGTTATTTAATGGGAGGGATGGAATATGGATTTTATTCCGAGGGAAAATATGATATTGGCCAAGGAAAATATCATATTGACCGAGGGCGATAGCCCGAGTGTCAATATGATATTTTCTGAGGCCAATATCATATTTTCTCAAGGAATAAATCCATATTCCATCACGACCATCAATAACCTATTTATTTCATAATATTTTTTTTTCAATTTTTCTGATACGGGATCTGATACGGGATTTTTGCTGATACGGGATCCAATACGGGATCTGATACGGGATTTTGGCTGATACGGGATCTGATACGGGATTTTTCAAATAACACTTTTATTCCCTGTTATTTTCCCAGGGAAAACATGTTATTATGGAATAATGTACAGTATAACTCTTGTTATCAAATTGGGCAAAATTCCACGTCATCATCAAATCACCATTCTAATAAAAATCTCTTCATTGTAAAAAACAAAAGAAAAAAGAAAATATGACGTAACAGTGAAGTCGGATTTGTGCCCTTGGTAATAAATAAAGTCAGTAAAAGTAAATGATCATGAATGAAAAGAAATCTGGTTAATTTAAGATCTACTCGCGGCAACATTATTGGCCGATTATTGGCGTGTTTGGCCCAACGTCTCATTAATTACCACATAGTCATTGGTGTAGTATCACAACTTAACAAGTCTATGTGTTTTCAAGACCGACGAATTAATATCTCAATAAACTATGTACGCGATTATTCTAAAAAGTTTCGCGTTGTGCTGACTATCAATTAGACTCAACTTTTTTCTGAGTTCTTAAGTACAAATCTCTGATTGAAATTATTTAAAGTATATTAGTCCCAGTGCTAATGAACAGTTATGAAAATCGATTGATTCAAAAGAACAATGTTTTAATAATCGAATTCGCTCTTTTTCTGTTGCAAATGACATCTCCTGATCTCAGAAGGTGCAATGACGAAGTAGCCAATTACACGTTTGTGCGCGGTGATTGTCGTTATGTAATTAGTAATTCAAAACAGTTTGTTTAGAAAATATGATTATCATAGGCACGTTTGTGTTCATTCAAGCAAAATAGTTGAACAAATATTACATTTTTTAGCAGTTTAGACACCTGAGCAGTTTGGCCGAGTGGGTTAGACTGTAGTCGAATGTACCGGGGGATACGGAGATCCCGCGTTCGAGCCGCAGGTACGGAGTTGTTGATCATTGTCACTACGGACACCCGGTCCGAAGGTCCAACCGTTTACCGGCCCTTGGCATGGGTTGGTTCTCTGACCGCTTTTGTCGGAGACAGATTGTGAGACTGTGGTTGGTTCCTCCACTAACGTGCTTTAGTAAACTCCGGGAGTCATATAGTATGGTAGCGGGCCCCCACAAAGGGCAGTAGTGGAACGACGCGAATCGGTCCCAGTATGGTTGCCATGCAACTGAAGAGACTCGAGGAAATCATGCCATTCGCAGTGACCCAGAAAAGACTTTTGCTTCTCAATGTAACGTTTTAATACATTTATTAACATACTTTATTCATATTACTTTTCTTGCGGTTATGATTTTATTGGTCAAATGAATGAACGAGACATCTAGATATCAAAACCATATTGATGCAATCTCCGTCCGGGAGTCATACAGTATGGTAGCGAGCCCCCACCGAGGGCAGTAGTGGAACGACACGAATCGCTCCCAGTATGGTCGC